TTTCTTGAATGGCCCCCCCCAAACCTTTTTTTTTTTTTTTTTTTTTTTTGCTTGTCAACTTTTTCAGGCGAGAAAAAAAAAATTTTTCTGGTTGGCCTGAAATTCTAAAAAAAAATAAATGCTGAAACAGTTGCATCATTGTGTTTACTACTCATAACAATTAAAAATGACGTCATCGATTCACAATACGAAACGTGCTGGTCTCGAGAAGTTTGGGGACGATTTTAGGGTATGGACGAATTCAATCGCCTATGCAGAGTTGTCGTTCGTTCCTCTCTCAGACACGTGAATGTATGGGTACCGAATGTAGAGAGTGGGACGAATTTAGGGTACACGACGATTAAACTCACTGGCAGTTCCTGTCTCATTCGTACGAAACGTCTGCATATCGAGGATCAGACAGGCAAGCCCTGCAGTCTACACTTCGATATTTTCCCTATGTTCAAGTCTTCATGAGTCATTCGCCAAATAAAAAAATCGTAAAAAAAGATTCTTATATTAAACGAGGAAGACAATAAGGTAACCAAATTAATCGTAAAAGTATAATTTGTATTTTGAAGACATTGGGTTTAGTTCGACTGATTGTACGTACAACTTAATTGCGTAATTCCCGCGAATTCTGCACTCCATGGTGACTATCAACAATATCAAATAATAGATATTTCCGCGGATTAGAAAAACAGTTTATTCTTATGTTTTTAAAAAGATAGCTCCAAGGTACCTATATTTTTCTTAAACACATCATTATTGATTATTTCATAGAGAACAAATCATGCTTTTGTGTGATAATTTAACAGGTTTTATTATATCGGGGTGATAATCAACATGATCAATAATGATCACAGGTCTAGTTTATTCACATAATTATGCTTATAGTTATTTGATATACTATATTTGCATAATTGAATTCAAGTTTTCTCAACTTTGCCTTTAATTTATACCAAAACACTGCAAGTTTGGATAGCATGTATTCCTGTGTTGGTAAATTCTATTGTGTTTTTTTTTTCTTATTCACAGTATTCAATTATGATATGAAAAGAAAATTGTTCAGTCAGACAAATCTATATGGAGATTTACTTATTTGGTCAAAAAATGAACTGACAGACTATCAAACAAACAATCATGAAAGGTCATTGAGCTCAGATATAGCTGCAGATCTGTAGCTCTCCGAAAAATATTATTGATAGACCGGAGAGCTACAGTGCCACCCATTGAAAAAACTGTATATTTATTGCGCATAAAAAAGTGAGCTCGGTTCTCGATTAATATTTCCAAATTCTTACCTCAATTGCAAAAAATGGAAGATTTCAAAAAATTACTCTCTCTATCAAGTTCTCTCGTAGTTGACATCTGAACGAAGCATATTGGACCGAATTATCTTTGAAACCAAAATGGCGGTATAAATAAGCGAAATGTCCGATGACTGCAATATCAGGGTTAGGAGGACTATTAACAACAATTATGAGGAATGTTTTCTTGTGGAAAGAGTCAAAGAATATGTTAGGAACACACGGTTAGTAATATTTTGAGATTACAGCTTTAAAAATATGGAGAAATAAATCGAGAACAGAGCGCATTTTTTTGTGCGCTATAAATATACAGTTTTTTTCAATGGGTGGCTCTGTAGCTCTCCGGTCTATCAATAATTTTTTTCGGAGAGCTACAGATCTGCAGCTAGCTCAGATGCTGAATTTATATTGCCTATCAATTATATCATGCTAAGTTAACCTGAGAATTGGTCTTCTGTGTTATTTCTGTCAAGAATTAACTGTTTGATCATAAATAACTTTTAGAATTTAAATTGCTAATGCATCAAAAGAGACTCATCATGAAAATAAGTTATTTCTTCATGGATTGTTTTCATTTCAAACCTGAAAGATGCTAAATAAAGCAACATTGGGTAGCTGAATAAAGTTATATATGTAATTCAAGTTACAATTTTAAGTTAAATGCACTGATTGTACCAGATTGATTAATATACTCTTCAAGATTGAGCCATTCTTAGATTTAAAAAAAGGTGTAATATTGGTTGCTTATTTAAGGAATGACTCTAATTCTTGGCCAAATATTCGATATAACCTGGTTTGGGCCAGTTTACACTTTATAATCTGCGAAGTGGATTATAAAAAAGCGTAAAATGACCCAAACCAGGTTATACTTGACTAATTTGGCCAAGAATTAGAGTCATTCCTTATAATTTAATTTTAAAATAATTAAACAACTGTGGGTGTAAAATTATGCTGCTTTTTATGAGTTCAAATTTGTCATGCACTCAATAATACATCCCTAGTAATGAAAGTGATGGTTAACAAGGGGAGGTAATAACTGATACACAGATCTAGCAGCCATGATGTTTGTTTACATGAGGTAAGATCGAGCTACTGTTTGACGTTAAAGGTACATTTATTAAATCTGGGATTTTCCATAAATCCCAAGGACTGGAAATGAGGGGTTTGCATGGATACAGATGATTCAAATGGTTGTCAAGGGGGTGTGTCCCCATACCAAACCAGGTTATTAAGAAATAATTTGCGTTTCGTTTTGGAAATCAACCAATGAGAGACTAGAATACAAACAAAATTAAATTATTATATTATGACACAGTAACAGTATAAAATGCAAAAATGGCACATTTTCAATTAAGAAATATCAATGAAACTGTGCTCCTTTGAACTACAGCAAAGCTTGATTTGCTTCCCTTGGGAAGAGAAAAAAACCCAATGCATCTAATTAAGCACTGAATTTGTAGGTAGTATAAACTAGGAAGAAATGGAGATCAGTCGTCTTTTGAGTGATCCCACCGAGGAAGAGGAACCTATCAGTAAACAATTGACAATACTCATTGAACGCCGCAAATCTGAGGAGAAGAGGAAAGCCCTCGGTCATTGGGACATACTACGGAAGTCCATCAGAAAGACGATAGATGCCGTAAAGGAGTCTGACTTGAAGAATAAAAATGTGTCTCATGGAATTCACCACCTGCGCAAACTTAACCATGACCACTCTATTAAATCAGTAGCCTTTATGAAGGATAGAAAAGTAAGCTGAAACATTCTCTTATGTATATTTTCATGTCTTGTGTTTAGTGTTTGATTTAAAGTTAATTCAATATTTGTGGCTTGGTAAAACATTCTCTACAATAGAATCTATGTATGGAGTTTTTGAAGAGTTTTTGTACAGAATTTTATCATATTTTTTAGGAATACCTGACCACAGATGGAGGGAATGTAACCATTTTTTTGGAGGATGGCCGCAAAAAGGCTACGTACATTCCAGAAGAAACAATGGACACAATCATATATTGTTCCCACTCTGACCAGTTTGTAGGATTCACCAAAGGAGATGATGAACTTTTCGTAAGAGCATTATAGTTAATATTTTCCTCATATGAATTGATTTTATTTTTATAAATTCAATGTTTGTCCTAAACGCATACCTTTCTGCTTAAAAAAAGATGTTTATGCATGGTGATTGATAGTCTCTACTGTGTTTGTTTAGGTTTTTGAAATTCTTGAATTGATTCTAGACTTTTTGAAATAGTTGACTTCATAATATAGCTGTAGCTAAGAAAAAGCATCTACCGGTATTTTAATTTATTCTTGAATTGATTCTAGACTTTTTGAAATAGTTGACTTCATAATATAGCTGTAGCTAAGAAAAATCATCTACCAGTATTTCAATTTATTCAATTTTTTTTTGTTTACTTTCAAGCTGATGAATAAAGACTTTGAAATCATCTCTCAAGCAAGAAATCCATGCAAAATAAATTTAGCCAAGTATAACCACAACACAATGGAATTTGTAACATTTGGACCAGGGTATTTTGTGGTTAGTATAAAACATTTTAAAAGCTGTCATTTAAAGTCTTCTGTAAGGAAATGTTGTTTAGGTTCTTCCTGTTTACAGTCCAGCTTGCTAGCAGATTGAATTTAATGTAAAACATCTGTACTTTTGGTGTTGGGGATTGAAAATCAAAGAACTGTGTATCTGTGCTTTGTGATACCAAGTGCCTGTTAATGTATTAGAATTTCCCGAGTTATCTTTCTTTTCATGTTTTCATGATCTGAATTTGTCATATGCACCTAAATCTTTATAAATTAAGTCAGAACATGATCAGTCTTAATTTTATCACTTGTGGCATATAATTTCACCATTTTTTTCTGTAGTGTTGGGCTTTCCGGTATGGTGCAAGACATCTTATACCTCGAAAGATGAACAAAATAGTATTCACAGCCGACAATGCTTTCTCTCATCTTGTTTTGGAAGAAACTGCCAGCCGTCAGCAGCGCTGTTACCTGTCTCATGGCAAAGATGTTGTGGTAAGTGGTCAAGTAAAAGTGGTTAAAAGAAAAATTTGGTTAGAAATACAGTAAAACTTGGCCACCACTGGTCCAAAGGAATTAGATAACATTCTGGATTAAACAATATTCCAAACAATTGAAATTACTAAACACCCATTCTCAATATAAGGGCTCAAATAATGTCACCTCATTTTCATTTAGAAGAAATACCACTGATGTAATTTTCAAATCAACATTATGAATAGTCATATAACAATGAATAATAATTCATATAATTATCGATCTGAAAGGGTATTTAAGGAGCTCCAAATTCAAATATAGTAGCGTATTTGAAATGTACGTTACTGTCGCCGAGGCAAATATTGTGCTGAATCCCCTCTGTGTAATTTGCAGTTTTGATTCTCAAGTAAAAATTTTCTAATAAGTTAACCCTTGTATCATATATATTTCTTTTTATAACAATAATTACATTTTCTTTGTGATAATAAATCATTTTTATTGTGCAATGTCCCTGTCACTTAATTCTATTTCAACCACATTACAAGCAAACACAAAGATTATAAACCTGATAGTTTTTTTTCTCCTTTATTTATTGATGGGCTAAATTTGAAATTTCAAAGGATTATTTACTCATACTTAGATAATGTAACATGAAATTAAACAATTTGAGCAACTTTTATAAATATGTTTACGGAATGAAAAACATTTTCAATCGTAGAGATAAGAAAGAAATGTACGTTACACTATATTCTTCCATGAAGAATATATATTAAGTAGAAAATATGAGACGACTCTGAGTAAGCAACCCCATGCACCCTGTAAACTGGCAAAGACGTTTTGGTTAACACAATTAAAAATTATTTTTTACATGAAAAATGGTCATTCGAAATGTACGTGACTAAAAGTACGTTACCATGAAATTCGAATTAAGTGAATCTCGCACGAATTTTCATGTATTCTCATACTTTCACACACTCGAATGTGTACACAAAGAAAAGTTCAAAGGTTGGAGGTCGTCTAAATCCCAAAATTAATGAAAAGAAACGTTTCTACTGAGGAAAAAATTGATATTAAGGTCATTTATATGTAGTATAATTTTGATACCTGATATATATTTCTGAATTCGAAACCTGTATGATGCATTTCTTATGATATGCAAGTTCAAATACTATCAAAATATTGCGTGTGTAACGTACGCTTGTGGAAGAGAATTTATTTTTATATTTGAAATGTACGTTACGTATGGTAACTACATTTTGCGTATTTCTAACTGACATTTTTTTTTAAAAATTTGGTCAATGAATTGCGTTTACACGAGCGAAACAAAGTTATCGTTACAATCCATTTGACAACTGACCATATAAAGCCATCTAAATGCACCCCCAATCCTCGTAAATGTGGTAGACTGTTATCACGTGCTAGAAAATTTATTTCTAAGCGTCTTAAATTCATCTTTGGCAACCTTTTTGCAGTTTGTTTACTTTTAATATGCGACTTTTCGTCAATATTCATTTAGTTAATTGTTTTTGATAATTTAAAACAAGGTATGCATAGGCATATAATTGGTAAAAAAAACCAAAAACACAAGACGGTCACGTACATTTCAAATACTGAAAGGCACACAATAATCAGTTTTGTTTGAATCATTGCATTTAATTTTGGTTATATTTTTCCAGATCTGCTAAAAAGCACGTATGTTTATGTTTAGACAAACGATGTTGCAGCATACTAAATGAAATTGTTAACAAGACTGTGGATGGATATATTCGGAATAGATTTTGATCATTTATGTTAAGTTTCAATGGCCAAACACGAGTTTTTTGGATCATAGCAAAATATGTCTTACTCCTATTTGTTTTTGTCTGTACCCTTGCCCACAGGTAGAAGTAATTAGGTTAAGGGGTTAACTTCAGCGGAACAGCACAAAAGAATGGTTGATCTGAGGTGGAGGGGACTCCCTAATAATATGTGAAATGAACGTTACCGAAGAGACGTGACATTCATGTAGTTGATGACAAATAACCTCATTTGTTACATTATGATTTCTTATATTACTGCGTTTAAACGCTTCATTGTAATGATTTTTATGTCGATAATTGCTTTTTTCCCCCAATATTTACTTACCGGTACATATTATTACAAGTTTGAAATGTACGTTACCTACTCATATTCTGGGGCAATCGTGTCTTTATAGTGGTCATTGTGACATATAACACTATGTGATTACATAGAGAATCTATTTTGGAATAAACTGAAACAAAACGATAATTTTTCAGATGAATTTTAAGCTTTTTATCAAACAGAAATAAATCATGAAATGTACGTTATATTTATGTAGTTTTCTAAATCGACATGGATATATGTTAAAAAAGACAGTAACTACAAAATAGAATTTTACTACATGTACATGTTAAGTTCCAGTATCTATAGAAAATGGCAAGATTCCAAACTGATCCCTCTAAACAAAACAGAGAGAAGAATTTAAAATATATTTTATAAAATTGTTTTTATACATCTGGATCAAAAAGTAACCTTTGTTTTTTGAAAGGAAAAATCAAACGCACGTTCGTATGCCGAGAGAATATATTGCTGACAGAGTTGGTAGGATGTGCTGGTGTTAAGATGAGATATTCCAATTGTGATTTTAATGATTACATTTTTTTCTGTCGACCTTTTTGGACATTGCAGAAAGAGTAACGTACATTTCCAGCTACATTCCTGAATAAAATCATCCCCTACTTCAACGTCCATGTATTAAAATTTGATGAAAAGAAAACTTGTAACAAAATCTTAAGATACTTTCTTTCAAAGGTAATTGATAGAAAAATTGTTATCTTAAACTTCATTTTTTAAAAAATCAGAGAGGCATTTGTGCCCTTATATTGAGAATGGGTGTAAAAGGGACTTGAAAGTTTAATTTATCTTATTATTCAAGATTTTGGAATACACAATATCTAGATTAGGCAATTTCACTATTAATACTCTTTTTGTATACCTAACTGACTTGTAGACAAAATGCAAATGAAACATTTAGCCCAAAAAATAGTAGTGTCTACATTTCAGAACAAATATGTTTTAAATCAAATTAAAAATTTTATTATTCAGGTTTACAATGTATTTGCGGGAAATCAACTCACGATGAAAAAAGATCTCCATGAGCGAATGATAACAGGGATGACATTTTTTAATCCACTGAAGTATTTAATCACTGGAGCTAAAGATGGATCCAGTAAGTAGTGACACCTTAACATCAAACTAAATTATATAATTTTAATTTTATGTAATAATATTCAAACAATGCATGTGCCATTCTTGCATTATATTCCAGCCTACTATTATTTTCTCCATAATCTAGCTAAAATGTAATATGTACACTAAAAGTAATTAAGCTCCCAATTTCATTCAAACAAAATTAAGATGGGACTTAAATTTCTGAAACTTCTTATTACCATGGTCAAAACATTATGATATGTGTCTTTGAACTTTGAACCCTTAATTTCATTCACCTTTATTATATACAGTCAAAGTGTGGGACAATGAGTGGTACCTAAAGATGGTGTTTGTGGGGCACACCAGGGCTATTTCTGTATTGTGTGTGTATCCGGATGGCCCTGCCATTATATCAGCCAGTCATGATTGTACTGTCAGAGTCTGGAACCTGGATTCCTGTGATGAGGTGGACAGGTAGGTTATCACATAATATTTCCACTTCTACTTGCTCTGTTTGTTGGTTTCTTGATAATTCAACCGGAATGTAAATTTCACAAAGCAAAAGGTCAGGAGCTAAGGAGGCCCTAATATGCATGTAGATCTTGTGCATCTGTCTTTGTCTGATGTCAGTGGGCGGGGACTATTGAAATTGACATGGGAGGCCTTTTGTAATTTAAATCTATTAGAGAACATTTTTAAAATCTTTATTTACAATTTTTATTTCACATTTACATGTATTTATAAGGAATCACTGTCTAGTCTGGTGGGTATGTCAGGCACATCAATGACAGTTGGAAATGTGGGATAATTTATGCATAACAGGCTTTGCCCATTATGCGAATTATCCCATGTTTCCAACTATCATTGATGCCTTGGCATACCCAACAAACTAGACAGTGATTCCTTAAAAAAACCTATGGTATACCAACATCTTCTGTCATAGTGACACTGTAAATCAACCTTCTCCTGCCTCTATTAAATGTCCAAATGTGTTGTAAAGCAGTCTATTTCTGTCAAAATTTAAGGTAAACCAATTGATTTATATAATAATTATACTTAAATCATCTTTCTACAGTCATAATTCTGCTGTAAACCAATCGTTTCTTCTCATAATTACTTTTTTACCTGTTTACTACTGCCATGATTGAACGGTCAACCAATCTACTTTCTCTGTGGACAGTGTGGTAACTTTTCTCTTGAGAAAAGTACACTTGTCTGGCATCTTATTCTTATTCGATATGTAGACAAAATAATTCTTGGACAATATGGCTATAGACAACCTACTTCATGGACAATTCTGTTGACAATGTTTTTCAGTGCATGCATTTAATTTCAATGCAACCCAGGGGATGTTTTTGATAAACAATTGACCTTTTTTAGGTCACCTGAGTAAACTCAGGTGACCTATTGCTATCCGTTTTCGTCCGTCGTTGTGCGTCGTGCGTTGTGCGTTAACATTTGAACATTAAATAAACTAACTAAGTACATAGTTATGATGAGCAAGAGTGCCTCTACTAAAATTATGAATTTTATGGCCCCAGGGTCAGGGGTTCTAGTGTTAGGGCGGGGCTCTATTGATTATATAGTGAAAATACAGGAATTCTTTGAAAATCTTCTTCTCTGCTCCTGGGTATTAAATAAACTAACTAAGTGCCTAGTTATGGTGAGCAAGAGTGCCTCTACCAAAATTGTGAATTTTATGGCCCCAGGATTAGGGGTTCTGGTATTAGGGGGGGGGGGGGGCTCTATTGATTATATAGTGAAAATACATGAATTCTTTGAAAATCTTCTTCTCTGCTCCTGGGTATTAAATACACTAACTAAGTGCATAGTTATGATGAGCAAGAGTGCCTCTTCCAAAATTGTGAATTTTATGGTCCCAGGGTCAGGGGTTCTAGTGCTATGGCGGGGCTCTATAGATTATGTAGTTAAAATACATGAATTCTTTGAAAATCTTCTTCTCTGCTCCTTGGTATTAAATAAACTAACTAAGTACATAGTTATGATGAACAAGAGTGCCTCTTCCAAAATTGTGAATTTTATGGCCCCAGAGTCAGGGGTTCTAGTGTTAGGGCGGGGCTCTATTGATTATATAGTGAAAATACAGGAATTCTTTGAAAATCTTCTTCATTGCTCCTGGGTATTAAATAAACTAACTAAGTGCATAGTTATGATGAGCAAGAGTGCCTCTAGCAAAATTATGAATTTTATGGCCCCAGGGTCAGGGGTTTTGGTGTTAGGGCGGGGCTCTATAGATTATATAATAGTGAAAATTCATTTAATCTTTAAAAATTTTCTTCTCTGCTCTAGGGTATTAAGCAGATGAACTACCTATATAGTTATGATCTACAAGGGCCCTAATCTTCCAGAATTGTGAATTTCAAGGCCCCAGGGTCAGGGGTACCATGGGGGGGGGGGGTGTACTTATATACTGAAAATGAATGAATGGTTTGAAATCTGCTCCTTGGTATTAATCAAATATCAAGGCCTAAGGGTCAGGGGTTCATGTGTGGTAGGAGCACTACTGATTATTGCTGAATATAACTGATTAGTTGAAATGCATTTTTGTTCCCCTACCTTGTGTATGGGTATTAAGTAAACAAACTAAGCAACTGCTAAGTGTATTGTTATGATGAATTAAATTTATTCACTGGAAAGTTGTTGCATAATGCTCAGGTGACCTATAAGGCCCATGGGCCTCTTGTTTGTTTATAATAAGGCTCACAATAACAAATTGAATTCAAAAGAAATTCCTTGAGTTTCAGAATTTAAGATCTCTATATCCTAAAGTTGGGTATAAAATTATCCTTTTTCATTACATTTGTTTGACTCCCCCCCCCCCCCCAATGATTTGTAATATATGAGTGCTGAAGATGGGGTAGATTAGAAAGTACATGCACTGATAATGAAGTGAAAAAAAAATTATATGAAAATTTGCATAGACTTTAAACAAAGAAGTAGTCAACGAAATATATCTGAATAGCGTAATATTGCTTATGGGAAATGAAAGTCATTATTTCTTATTACAGAGCTAAGTTAGATGCACCAGCCATTGGAATGTCGACAGAGCTGAATTACTTTGTATTCTTTACTTACTCTTGGAAAACAGTGGACTTATGGAGAATTCAGCACTTGTTCAGCATTCATACTTCAATTGGGTAATATACCATAGCTATACAGTAATAATTAAGTAAAACCTCATTATCTGAAATATAAATGGGTGGTCAGAAAGATCTAGATATCCAAGGAAACAAGATATTGAGAGCTCAAACACATAAAGAAAAACCAGTTTAAACCTATTAACTCGATCACTTCAAATTATTCACAGACCTGGAAAAATTGCATGTCACAAGAGGTCTTTGTCAAGATTTTATTTTTATCTTACATGAAATTCTTTCATTAATGAAATGAAATGGAGTAAAATTTTACACAGACAAAGAGTGGTAGCCATCAAACAGACAAGTCACCCCCACCACCCGATTCGGTCCCTGGTGGTGAGCAGGGACAGTAGTGTCCGCCTCATCACCCCTCCTAATGGGGAGGTCCTGACCACCCTACTGCTGGACCCAGCCAAGGGCATCGTAGACGCAGCTTATGCAATCAATGAAGGTAAACTATCTTTGAAATTTTTGTTTCTTTGCACATTTACTTCCAAGAAATTGGATGTTCAAGTTGATGAGACCTTTTCTTCTCACTAGATGGAATGTTCAAGAAATAAGATTTTTTATTTCCTTTTTATAAATTAATGATACAGTTATACATTTTAGTAATCTTATTATGACTTTCATGCTGTTTAATAACTACAAATTTTTACTTCAATCCTAGTGTAACTGCAGCTGCAAGTTCATGTATTTAGAAAAAAAAAATGTCTTTTATTGTGACCAAAGCATTTATCATTTTCATGCTCCATCCTTCCATTTCTTAGAATGATTATACAGCTAGCTTTTAGAAATTATTTACCGTTCTGAACAATGGAGATACATGAAGCTCTAAAGCAAAAGTTAATCTTGTTAGAATTTCAATGTTATCTTTTTCAGAGAAATTATTTGTTGTTCTGAACAATGGAGATATCCTGAAATGCTGTACAAAAATCAATCCTGTCAGAATTGAGAAAACCTGGAAAATTCAGAACCCCAGGGGTTTGTATAACTTAATTCAGCTAATTGTTTATGCAAGTTCTGGACAGGAGATAGGAATTTGGACTCGGTGTTAATTTTATATAATATGAAACTTACATATTACAAAATTTTTTTTTTTACTCTACTTTATATTGAGTAATTTAGAATTTATTAATATCTAGTTCTGTTGTAGCTACTTAATATCAACACTACACATGCATGATCAAGTCACATGGATGACAAAACGGCCATTTTTTGTCTACCTGATTTTATGCATTGACCTTCCTTAATAAATGTTTAATACATGTATACCCTTAACTCTCAGGTACATTGAATTTGGTTCAAACCCATTATGACTGAAAGGGGAAAAAATTATGTATTTTGGGGTCTTTTTCCTTTTTGGCTTAAATGCAGTTTTCTTAAAGAACTATTCTAAATTAACTTCAAAATTAGCAAATTCAGAAAAGTGTTAATACATGTATAATATATATGCCAAAAGATTACCCCCGGTAGTTTTAATAAGGCTAGAAGGTGATATTTTAAAGCATTAATTCATGAACATTTTGGAAGTTCATTTTGATGCCAATTAAAGGTAAAAAATAAAAAATAAATTAAAAAAAAAAACACTAGAAAAGAATGTAAATTTCATAAAACTATATAATCAGCTAGAAACCTATATTATGCATTATACCACTAAAATTAAGATTTTGAAAATAAGTTTCTGTTAGATATTTTTGAATGTTGAATCCTATAGAGCACAAACCCCTACTGGATTCTAATCACCTTCACTAATTAATTAGATAGAGCACAATTAGAAAAGATTTTTGTGCAGTTATATAAGTTGATTTCTAACATGTATTTCTCTTTTAATTCTTAATTTTTTTTGTTGTTACATATTTCGTAATTTCAGATTCACCTTTGTCTTTTGCATGCCACAGTTTATATTAATGTATGTTTTCACCTAAACCTACCCAGATTGTATTGAATGCAGCCCATAGTTAGAATTGAAGTCTAAAAAAATTATTTTTCCCATTTAAATACACATTTGAAAAAGGTACCTAAAGCCATCTTTAATTAAAAAAATTGTTTGTTTGCCATATCCCGACTAAGGTAAAAAAAAAATGTTGGAAGGTAGGAAAATTTTTAAATTTTTTTTTCAAAAAAAAAAATGACATACTTGTTGATAAGATAAGAAAATTCTGTGAAAAAAAAAATAATTTTAAAAAAATTCTTGCAGGTTAAAAAAAGTTTTATGTCAAACCATTTTTAACCAGTTGGTCGGGAGAAGACAAAAAAAAATTTTTAAAGGATGGCCTAGAATGCAATATTTTCTGGTTTTTAAATGGGAAAAATGAGTTTTATTTTGTGTTTTGATATATTTATGCCTCAGCACACAGTCACTTGTCTGTGAAGTGCCTAATATAGTCAGAAAACCTTAAGTTAAAAATTAACCATCTGCTTGAATTGTATAATAAGCTAACATCACCCCTTTTTAATAGCAGGTATCCCAACTCCAGCTAATATATGCCTCCACCCTCTGTACAGTAACAATCCAGCATAAACCTCTACTCACTTCTAACCCAAAATGATTTTATTTCTTTTCTTTTATAGCATGTACTTAGTATTTATATTTTTTTAGTCTTTAGAATGAGTTAAAGAAAATTAATCCATCAGCATATAGCAGTTACTATAAATTTATAAATATCACTTGGTCTTTATGAAAACAAATCTAAAATGAGATCTTTTTTAATTCTCAGTTTTTGAGATTGCACTGTATATGATAAAAAAAAAACAAAAAACAAATACTGTTATAGTTTTTAAAAAAAAAAAAAACACCTTAAATTCAGTACATGTAAATATATATGGACACAGAATTAAGGTTTTAAATTCAGGAATGTTTGTTAAGTCAGTTAAATTTCACAAAAAGCAAAATTTGTGTAAAATTGTTTTCTTAAAAACCAAGCTTACAATTTTGAACAGTATTTAAAACAGAGAGCAAAAATTATTAAAACATCAAAGAATGTGGGAGGATATAAGGTTCTGATCTGGTTTTTCATTTGACTTACAAATTCAGTATATGCAGGACTTTTAATTTCAAATTGATAATTATAACACTGATTTTTGTGAAATTCACTTAGTAATACATATTTGTCATGAGAAGGGTACACTGGATTGAATCATTGCAATCAACAAATTTACACATTTTGAATACATTTCATCCACTTTAGGATGCATTATGTAATGTAGAGTGCATGCATTCTTATCTATTGAGGATTTTTACACCTCATAGTTGTATCTTAATTATAAAGAATACATGCCTGTATATAACAATAAATTTATCAATACAAATAGGTGTACATGCAAATCGAGGCTTAAAAAGAATAGATAGTACCACTGAAGCATCAGTGTCTTCAATCCTTCAAAACTGCTTTTTAGCTCACCTGAGCCGAAGGCTCAAGTGAGCTTTTCTGATCAAAATTTGTCCGTCGTCTGTCGTTGTCGTTGTTGTTGTCGTCGTTGTAAACTTTTCACATTTTCATCTTCTTTTCAAGAACCACTGCAGAGCTGCCAACCCTTACGATTTTGGCGTAAGGTGTACGAAATCAGCGTCTAAAATACGCCTTACGATTTCTCTTTATATTATTCCGATTTCAGTTTTTCTTGTTCAAAGTTTATAATACCGGTATTTTCATAGCTGGCAGCCTATATAGTTTCTACTATTATAATATATTCATAATTCTTACAACGCTCGCTTGTATCATCGTTTCGGTTTTAGAAGGCCGATCACATTCATGTCAATGTTTTAAAGTAAACAAAATGGAAACATGCCTCAGATTGCATGTCCATTTACAAAACATCTTCAGCGGCAGGGGGCCTAGGTGGTCCCTAGACCCCGCCTTACTATTTGTCATTTCAGAATGTTGGCAGCTCTGCCACTGGGCCAATTTCAGCCAAACTTGGCACAAAGTATCCTTGGGTGAAGGGGATTCAAATTTGTTCAAATGAAGGGCCACGCCCTTTTCCAAGGGGAGATAATCATGAATTTGTTAAAAATTAATGGAATTTTTAAAAAATCTTCTTCTCCAGAACCACTGGCCAAAGAAAGATGAAACTCATGTGGAATCATCCTCAGGTAGTGTAGATTCAATTTTGTTCAAATCATGACCCCCGGGGCAAGGGTGGGGCCAGAATGGCCGACCCAAGTTTTACATAGGAATATATAGGAAAAATCTTTAAAAAATCTTCTTCTCCAGTACCACTGGGCCAGGAAAGATGAAACTTATTTGGAATCATCCTTAGGTAGTGCAGATTCAAGTTTGTTCAAATCATGACCCCCCGGGGCTAGGGTGGGGCCAAAATGGCCGATCCAAGTTTTACATAGGAATATATAGGAAAAAAATCTCCTCCAGAACCACTGGCCAAAGAAAGATGAAACTCATGTGGAATCATCCTCAGGTAGTGTAGATTCAAGTTTGTTCAAATCATGACCCCCGGGGCAAGGGTGGGGCCAAAATGGCCGACCCAAGTTTTACATAGGAATATATAGGAAAAATCTTTAAAAATCATCTTCTCCAGAACCACTGGGCCAGGAAAGATGAAACTCATGTGGAATCATCCTCAGATAGTGTAGATTCAAGTTTGTTCAAATCATGACCCCAGGGGCAAAGGTGGGGCCAAAATGGCCGACCCAAGTTTTACTTAGGAATATATAGGAAAAATCTTCAAAAATCTTCTTCTCCAGAACCACTGGGCCAGGAAAGAGGAAACTATCAAGTGGTATCATCCTCAGGTAGTGTAGATTCAAGTTTGGTCAAATCATGACCCCTGGGGCTAGGGTGGGTCCAAAATGGCCGACCCAAGTTTTACATAGGGATATATAGGGAAACCTTTTAAAATCTTCTTTTCAAGTACTTCAAAGCTATGATTAGTGATATTTATATGGAATCATCCTCAGGTAGTGTAGATTCTAGTTTGTTCAAATGATGAACGCCTGGAGGGGGGGTGGAGTAAATTCAAGCCTGATGTGCTCAGGTGAGCGCTGTGGCCCCTGGGCCTCTTGTTAAAAATTTCCTTTGATCATTGCATAAGACAAAAATCATGTTTCCTTTGTAAATAGCATATTCAACAAATTAAGACATATAATACATTAAAAAATACCTATATTTGTATTGAAATAAAAGGAAATATAAGATATACTAATTTCACAAGCTTATAATATTTGTAAACAAGAACATATTGTTAATAACACTTCTTATTTTCAATATCAAATCATTTTAGTGATTTTCTCATTCCAGACAGACAGTTACACAAGTATAAATAGTCTTCAAATTATATAAAAAAAAAAAGTAATTTTCAACGGTATAAAATAAGCAATGAGAAAGTAATGTCTTTTCCCTCTTTTTTGCTTATATATTATCCAATAAAAATACTGTGGTGTTAATCTAAATGATTTTAAATTAATTTGTATGAAAATATTTGTCTTCCAATCTTATACGGTACATTTTAAAAATTGATTCTTTTTGATTGGTTGTAAAGCCTCAGTATCTATTGGCAAAGAAAAAGCTAAGGACTTGAATTGTAGGAAAACTTAAGTAAACAGCCAGCACAAGTTATGAAACCTTTATCATCATCTTATGAAATTATTTGTAAATTCTTTAACTAATTGAGATTTTTCTTTGTCTCTCCACATCAATCGACCAGCAGCAACAACATCACCAATGAATATTAAATGAATAAATAAAATTAAATGAAATATCTGCCAAATTAAAGTTAGTTAACCTTTAGGTTCATTTATCTACCAGTCATAGGTCATATAACTTTTAGGCATTTTGTTATATGAAATTTATATACATGTAGAAAATTGAAAAAATTTAAAAACTCTAGGAGATAAACAAATCAACTTGATTAAATGCAACACAAGAAGATATTAAAATACATGTAATACAACAAAGAAATAAGGTTAAAAACTTCACACTACTATGAAGTGGGTTGGTCACATGATCAGGTCTATAGCCTGGTTTTCATGATTGCTCTTTTGCATATTTGGTAAGCAGTCTATATAAACATAGAGCTTCAAACATTATACTGACCTTTGGTTTTCTGATCATGGCTCTTCAGAGGCTTGTAACTATCTTCTGGTGTATGAGTATGTCCCAGACTTCAAGGCTGATGCCTGGGCAGCATTCAAACGAGGGTTAGCAACAAACACGATAGGCGACAATAGTTCCCAGACCAGCCGGGCTAAAACCATTCTGCTGGGTGGAAGGAAGGATGGCCACATCTGTGTGTTTGATTGGGATGATGGAAAAGTTATTTTTAGTATTGATGTAAGTTTTCATATTTAATGATTATAATTCATTTAACACAGATTTTTTTAAAGTTCATAGTGAAATATAATAACGATATGGTTGATGCATGCTCTTTTATTGCACTTTTTGCTTTACAATGCTGTTCATGAGATTGTCAAAACTTCTTTGATACATCTTTCAGATCTATACAAATATCAAGAACAAAATATATTATGTCTCACTGTGTCATTTGATTTGATGTATTTTGCATGCTAGGGGGAGGGTTGTCTAAATATTAATTCTTTTGTACTTGATATGTTCTTGAAATTACTAAAAAGAATTCATATTTTGAAAAGACAATAATTTAATTTCAGAAGTGTTCTTTTAGTTTTGTGAGTGTGTATATGATATGTATAAATAACACAGGCTTGTCACATAGACATTTCATGAAGCCCTCTGACAATTTTTTTGGGCAGTACAGTAAACTTGTGTAATCAGAACACCACTTAGGTTCTTAAGAAATTGGCTTGAATAGGCAGCAGTCCCAATAATAACTGAATTAACTGAAAGTGACTTAATTGGTTTACATTGTATTAGACAAGAATTCAGAATTACAACACCCAGATTAGACAATTTAAGTTTCACTATATATTCCTTTAAATTTGCATTTAACATGATAAAAACTCCAAATCATATTTACTTTTTAAATTTTCCACTGCCATATATTATTATGTTTTCATTTCCATCGATTACCATCTTGTATATAGTCTTGTGACATCAAAACATTGCAGGTTCCCCTTGTATACATGTGCCTGCATGCTTGTACACAATAATGTACATCATTCAAATCAATTCTGTATTTGGTTATAGGCAGAAAACAGCAACAATAAATAATTACAAGTTTTATAGACATGTATATATATATTTTTTTGCAGGCTCATGGAGTGAAAGGGGTTTTAAGCATGAAAGCAAATTCCAAGCAAGATCAACTTATATCTGCTGGCAAAGGTAAAATCTACAGGCTACACTGAGTATATAGTTGTATTTATGGAATCATCTATTTAATTCTTTCAAAATGCCTGGATTTGCACAGTTCTAAATAAAGTACACTGCAATAATATTAGTCTAACTTGAAGTCTAGATCAACAGTACATAAATCTGTTCATCAGTTTTCAGTATTGATATAAGCTAAAGTATAGCTGCTGTTATAAATTAGGAAAAAGAATATGTCATATTATTGAAAACTGCTTTTCTTTCTGTATAGTAAGCTTTCATAAAAAATTGAAAATCATTGGTTTGAAGGATTGAGACATATCACAGAAGAAGTTAAAACAACCCGGCCAGTTTAGATCTAAACTTATCATAAACGTATCATAAACTTATCATAAACATTGTTTTGTTTAAGAAGCAAGATCCATAGTTGGTAAAATATTGACATCTCCAGAACAATAGAAATAATATTTATTGCATTTGTAAGCATTTTGATTGTTGTATAAAGTACATGCTACTTACTTGTATGTATGTCAAAGGAAGTTTGGAAGGCAAAACTGTTAAGTGATTAAGTTGTTTTTCCTAAAGAAGTGCAAGTTATTATTGTGGAATATTTCACAAACAGCTAGGATAAAGATTAATGGAGATGTTACATGTATTGGAGGGGAACATACTTTGTTCTTTTATCTGTGAAAATTCAATTTTGAAGTAAAAAAGGGCATTTCAGATTTTGTAGGCAAATGCAAAAAAAAAAACCCTTCATAAATGTGTTAATAAAGGGAATCCAGTTGTTTATAAAGATCCAGTGACAGTTTATTTTGAAGATGCATACACTCCTCAATAAAGCTTTTTATATATTAAGAAATAGCATACAAATATCAGCATTTATTAAAGTTCCTATTACCGGTAATTAAAGAGATTAAATTTTTAGCTCACCAAATAAGCTTTTCTGATCAAAGTTTTCCATTGTCTATCGTTGTTTTCATTGGTGTTGTTGTCATCGTAAACTTTTCACATTTTCATCTTCTTCTCAAGAACCACTGGGCCAATTTCAATCAAACTAGCCACAAAGTGGGTAAAGTGGATTCAAGTTTGTTCAAAATGATCTAAGGGGAGATAATTATGAATACGTGAAAAATAATGGCATCTTTTAAAAATCTTCTTCTCAAGAACTACTGGGCCAGGAAATATGAAACTCATGTGGAAGCATCCTCAGGTAATGTAGCTTCAAGTTTGTACAAATCATGATTACCAGGGGTAGGGTGGGGCCATGATGGGGGTCAAAGTTGAACATAGGAATACAAAGGAAAAATCTTTAAAATTTTTCTTCTAAAGAACCACTGGGCCAGGAAAGATGAAACTCATGTGGAAGCAGCCTCAGGTAGTGTAGATTCGAATTTGTTCAAATCATGACCCCCAGGGGTAGGATGGGGCCACAATTGGGGATCAAAGTTTATCATAGGAATACATGGGGAAAACTTTAAAATTCTACTGAAAAACAGCAAAGCCATGATTGGTCAAAGTTATATCGAAGCATACTCAGGTAGTGTACATGTAGATTCAAATTTGTTCAAATCATGACCACCGGGGGTAGGGTGGGGCCACAGTCGGGTATCAAAGTTTAAGATAGGAATACAGAGGAAAAATCTTTAGGAATCTTCTTCTCAAGAAAATCATAGCTGTGATTCTTCATATTTATATGTAAGCATCCTTGGGTAGTGTAGATTCAAGTTTGTTCAAATCATGACCAACCAGGAGAATAGAGGAGCCATAAAAGTGGATCATAGTTATACCAAGGAATATAGGGCTATATCAATAAAAATTTTTCATCTTATAAACAGCAAAGCCATTATATACGAGGGGTTATCAAAAAGTTCGTGGACTAGCGTCATAAAATTAAAACCGCTTTAGGCACATCAATGAATTTTAGAATATCTAGTTAGCATCATCTTTTCTATCTAAAGAATAAACCATAAATCATAAATTTTATTTTTTAATAAATTAGTAATGTTTTTGTAAGCAATGGTATGTCCAGGCGGCGCAACCTCGAAAACGACGTTTTAACGACCTATGTGTAACTGAAAAACTCTTTTTATATGATCATTTGACATCAAAAAATCCCGTTAATTCAGGTATGTGTCGGGACACAATTGTTCCATAAAATATGATATTTTCACTTCATTCTGGAAGTTCTATAAAATTTTATTGTAAATTTTACACGGAATGTCCAAACAAATGAGGCCTTAAAAATGACGTCAAAAGGGGGAGGGGTTTCCGTTTCCAACATTCTATAAAGTTTTGCCCCTGAAAAATCTGGTATAGACCTAAAATATGTTGAAACTGGCTACAGAGAAATAATATGCATCCAGAGTACTTTTCTTTTAATGTCAACAAAGATTCAGAGAAAAAAAAGGATACGCAGTTAATGTCGATTTGCAGTCAAGGTGTGAAAAAATCAATCACGTCAAAAAAAGACGTTGATCGTGCGTAGAAGATATTGAACTCCAAAAAGCAAAATATGCCGGCATAATCAAGCGCGGATCTCTCCCAATGTATTAATCCATTTGGAATATTATATTCATTGAAGGCCACTGTTCATGACATTGTAGAGTCATATAAACAAGGCGGGTTTAAGTCCTTACTCAGCTCCAGGGAATCTCATCAAAAAAGTGTATGAGGTAGAAGAAGCGACATATGAAAAAAACAATGACGTTATCGGACGTCATGAAAATACACGACGACAGCGCCGGGTGGTCATATAATGTAGTTTATATTTTGTAATAATTTGGCAAATAATGAACGTATCAGGCTAAAATTTTCAACATTTCTTTATTTTTTGTTGTTTTATTTTCCATATAAATTTTGAAAGCACACACTACATAGTACTTATTTTATAGCATCAGTCCACGAACTTTTTGATAACCCCTCGTATGTATCATATTTATTTAAACATATCCATAGGAAGTATTGATTGAGGTTTGTTCAAATACTGTAGATCACTTTTTCGCTACACCTTATTTTCGCGAGATAGTCAGTGACTCTTTATTAGCGAGACATAATTTTCACGAATTGTTGTTTTCCTCTATATAATCTTAAGGAATACTCTTAAATGTGAGAATTAAATTTTCGCGAGCTCATTGTCTCGCGTAATTACGCGAAAATTTAATTCTCGTGAATAAAACGTGATTTACAGTACTCACCTCCCTTTCCTCCCTGAACCCACTTTTATATTTAAACTTCTCAATACTGAACTGATATTTGCTTTTAGTTTACCGGTACATAGCTAATTGCTCAGGTGAGCGATGTGGTCCCTGGGCTTCTTGTGTTTAAAAATGACCTGTTGTAACTTTTAGGGATTGGTAAAACAAGCAGAATGGCATACTTATGTTATCTCTGGAA